GCAATCTAAGAAACTAATTAAAATGAATCTAATTAATTCATTTTTGTTAGTTTGATATTGAAATTAAATAAATAAATAAATGAATAAATAAATAATAGATTAATTAGTCAATTAATTAACTGATTTGGGGGCTGCTGCTGTTTGCTGCTGCAGGCTGCTGGAGCAGCAGCAAAGAGAGACGCAGCAGCAAATTGAAATGCTGCTTGCTGCTGAAGCAGCAGCAAAAGCCCACATAAAGACGTGAGACTTTTATTTTATTTTTTGTTTTAAATTAAATTTAAATAATTTGTTATTAATTCAATTTTATCATTTATTTATTTAAATTTAATTTGGCAATTGATTCTATCCTACGTGCTGCTGCTGCTGCTGCCGCTGCTGCTGCAGAGCTGCAGCTGAGGCGGCAGAAGCAGAAGCGGAAGCGCTGCAGCAGCAGCTGCAGTTCGAGCAGCAGCAGCAGGAAAGTGAAGGAGAGGCGCAACAGGTAAACTATATATTCAGCAGCAGCAGCAGCAACAGCAGCAGCAACAGCAGCAGCTAACGCCTGACAGCAGCAACAGCAGCAGTGGCAGTGCCTGGCAGCAGCAGTGTAGTAACAACAAGCGTCTAGCAGCAGCAGCGACAACGGCTTGGCAGCAGCAGCAGCAGCAGCAGCAGCAGCAGCAGCAGTTTGCGGGTTTGTGTGGGTGCAGCTACGGGATCGGCTTGAGGCTCTTTTGGGGGAGAGCGAAAAGCTGCAGCAGCAACAGCAAGAGTGAGCTGCAGCAGAGCAGCAGCAAAGCTGCAGCAGAGCAGCAGCAGATTGTGTCTTTGTGTTTTATTTTTCTTTTACTTGCTGCTTCCCTTTTGCCTTTTTCTCTCCCTCTATCCTCCTTTATTAGTTCATTTCAATTAAATTAATTCACTTCAAATTATCCATTTTGCTGCTGCTGCTGCTGCTGCTGCTGCAAGCGTCTCGTGTTGCTGCTTCTCCCTGGCCTTTTTTGCTGCTTCTTTCTGCCCCACTTCCATCTTTTTTTCTATTTATTTATATTTATTTACTTATTTATTATTTATTTATTATTTATTTATTTATTTATTTATTTATTTATTTATTTATTTATTTATTTATTATTTGCAGACAATCTTCGGGCCTGCAGCAGCTGTCTTCTTTGCTGGCCTTCCTCGCCCAGCGCAGCAAATTCATTTTTTTAATTTTTAAAATTAAAAATAAAATTTTGAAAAAAAATAAAAACAAACTGCAGCAACTCGTCCTCAAACAGTCAGTCTGCTGCTGCGGCTGCTGCTGCTGCTGTTTCTGCGGCTGCGGCTGCTGCGGCTGTTGCTGTTGCTGCTGTTGCTGCGGCTGCTGCTGTTGCTGATATTGCACCGGCTGCTGCTGTTGCTGCGGTCTATGGCGTTTGTGCTGCTGCTGCTGCTTGCGTTGCTGCTGCTACTGCTGCTGCTTGCGCTGCTGCTGCTTGCGCTGCTGCTGCTGCTGCTGGCGGAGCTGTCTTTGTTGCTGACGTTCTTGTTGCTGCTGCTGCTGCTGCCGCTGCAATAGTTGCTGCTGCTCAGCTGGCTGCTGTTGCTGCTGCGGCCGTTTTGCTGCAGCACCAGCAGCAGTGACCGTTAGCAAACAGCATTATTGCTGCTTCTGCTGTTGCTGCTGCTGCTGCTGCTGCCTGTGCGTAGTGATCTGCTGCAGCAGCTTTCGCGGCGTCAGAAGGAACTGCAGCAGCAGCAGCACGAGGCGCAGCAGCAGCGGCTGTCGCTATGCGGGGAGCAGCAGCAGCTGGAGCTGCTGCTGCCGGTGCTGCAGCAGGAGAAGCAGCTGTCTGTACAGTCCAGGGACTTCAAAACAGCAGCAGCACTTGCCGAAAAGATACAAGTAGGTCCTGCTGCTGCTGCTGCTGCTGCTGCGGTTGTTTCTGCTGCTGCTGCAGTTGTTGCTGCTGCTGCTGCCATTGCTGCTGCTCCAGCAGCAGCAGCAGCAGCTTGTTTCGCTTCGTAGTTGACCCGGATTCACTTCCCGCGTGCTGCAGCAGCAGTCCGCTGCATGACTCCTGCTGCTGCTGCGGCCACACTGCTGCTGCTGCTGCTGCTGCTGCAGGAATGTGCAGCAAAAATTGAAGGCCTGAAAGCAAAGGCAGCAGTTTTGGAAACAAAAAGGGCAGGCCTTACTCAGGTAGCAGCAAATGCTTTTTTATTTTTAATTTAATTTAATTTAATTAATTCAATTAATTTAATTAATTTAATTAATTTAATTTAATTTAATTATTTAATTTAATATAATTTAATTTAATTTAATTTGACTTCCTTTTTTAGTTTTTTATTTTGGCTCTTTTTGCTTCTGCAGCAGCAGTTGCTGCTTTTTATTTTTAATTCTTCTTTTTTTAATTATTTCATTTTTTGTTTTTAAATTTATTTCTTGTTTTGTTTTTAATTATTTCTTTTTTGTCTTTTTATTTATTTCTGTTTTTATTTTTTTAATTATTTCTTTTTGTATTCCTTTTTGTCTCTTTCGATGCTGCTTTGTCTCTTTGTAGGGTTTAGGGTTCAGGGTTTGCTGCTTTCAGAATTTAGGGTTTAGGGTTTAGGGTTTAGGGTTTGTAGTGTAGGTTTTAGGGTTTAGGGTTTGTGGTGTAGAACTTCGAGTTCTCTCTGTGACACCTTCAGAGCTCAGGGTTCAGGGTTTCCGACTCCGAATCCTAAACCCTAAACCCTTAGGGTTTAGGGCTTAGGGTTTAGGGTTTAGGGTTTACATTTAGGGTTTAGCGTTTAGGGTTTCAGGGTTTAGGGTTAAGGGGTTTGCATGTAGGGTTTAGGGTTTGGGGTTTCAGCGTTAAGGGTTTAGGCGGTTTAGGGTTTAGGGTTTAGGGTTTAGGGTTTGCCTTCAGGGTTTGCTGGATTTGGAGTCTGAGCATTTGCAAATGTCTCTTTTTGTAAAAGACACAAAAAGAAAACTTTCCAAAACAAAGGCTGCTTCGCTGCTGCTGCTGCTGCAGCAGCTGCAGCAGCTTGCAGCTGCCTGCCCCTCCGACAGAGACCAAGTAAAACAACAAATAATTA